GCTGTATGCCCTGCGGCCGCCGAGGTTCCGATCGAGGTTGCCGTCGCCGTTGATGAGCTTCTTCAGGAGGCTGCCTACTCAGGCTGATAGCCTGCTTTGAGTTGGGATTTTGGAGGGGTTTAGATTTTAGCGGAGTAGGGCTTGGTCTAGGATATGTTTCGTTGTTGTACTTTGTGTTGAGCTAACTGGGATTGGGGTTGCGTTATGTTGGTAGACTTGTTGGTAGATGGGAAGTATTGTTGAAGATGATGATGATGGTTAATTATTCTGACTTTTGTATCATCTAAAGTCTTAATATTTTGTTTCCACGTGAATGGTTTAAGATATAACTCTCTCAGTCAACGCGGTTTATGAGATTTTTCCAATAGTTTACAGTGTTAAATAGAATTTAATCATGATTAAGTAACGACCCTTTCTTCTTCTTATTCTTCGAATTCTCAACTGAAACAAAGATCGGTAAGTGATCTTCATCATTCTGTAGCGCTAGTTTTTTTTAGGGCAAAGAGCGAGACGAGAGTATGAAAATACGCACCTACTTTATAAGAACTAAACTCAGGATTATAAAAGCAACGAGCAAAAACAAAGCACGGTTCAAGAATTAGAACAATTTTGTAACTAAAACAAGAGATAAACCTTGTATTTTTTTTATGTCAACAGGATTCTTTGACAGAAGCCAGAAAACAACAATGAATCAATAACAACAACAGGACTCGGAAACAACCACATCGAGCCTCACTCACGACACAACTATTTATTTTAGACCCCCAAAACAAAATCCAATTGCATAATTACCCATCAGTAGGTAATTTCTATGATCTGAAAGTAATTCAGTTACGCTTGGTGGTGGTGGTGGTGGTGCGGGTGGTGGTGGCCCCGGAGCTGGCGGTGGTGGTGTTGCTGTCCATTCCGACGGCATTCTTCACTGCATCTGTGGCGTGGTGTGCCATGTTCATTACTTGCTCTCCGGTCTTCATTTTCATTAAAACAAGCAAGAAACTAATTAAAATGAAAGCCGTTGCTCGAAATTTCTAAATGATGAAAATATGATGATAAGAATACCGTGAAGTATATGCTATTTTGAGATGTATCAAATTTCTTTTAAAACCATTTTAAAATATCAAAATTCTAAAGTTATAATAAGATTTGAGGATTATTATAATGTTATTTTTATCAGTGGATTGAACCCACTTTCATTGATCGAAGATATACGAGGACAAATTTTCAAAACCAACCTATTTACAAATTTAATCGCAGAAAACAACCTATTTCAGATTTAATTGCAAAAACCGACCTGGTTTTAGCCCTGGAGCTGAAACCAGGTCGGTTTTTAAAAAATTTTATCCGAAACTTCACGGGAGTTGAACTCCCGTGAAGTTTCGTAGTTCAAATATTTTTTTTTTTGTACTGGGAAACTTCACGGGAGTTCAACTCCCGTGAAGTTTCAAAAGTTTTTTCACAAAAACCGACCTGGTTTCAGCGCCAAGGCTGAAACCAGGTCGGTTTTTGCAATTAAATCTGAAGTGGGTTGTTTTCTACGATTAAATTTGTAAATAGGTTGGTTTTGAAAATTTGTCCTATTTTCTTTTACAATAAAGTAATTTTTTAAAACTCATTTCCTTTTACGACAAAGTAATTTTATAAAACTCATTGTTGATGACGTTCAATGGGTTTTAGATCAGATCCGAATTGCTCTGGTACTATCTTAAAATCTATTCCGCAATACTAAAACTTTAAAGCCGCAGTGCGAAGAAAAAAAGACTAAAAACATGCATTAAATAAATGCCTACTTTTAGACCTCTGATTTTGAAATTTATTGTGTTGATTCAATAAAGATCATTTCGATACATCATCAATGTGATGGACCTGGACATATAAGCTTCGGAATTATGAGTTGGGTAAAAGTTTAATTCTGAAATCAAAATATTGAAATATCACAAGCTTGCGAAAATATATTTTTATAGGAAATTAAACTGCAATTTTCATGGAAGCAAAAAAAAAAGAAAATTCGTTAATTAAGACCTGCTGAAGGAAGCCAGCAGCCTGCTCATGGCTCTCCCTCGCGCTCTGTGCAGCATCAGACGCCTTATCACTTGCAGGCTGCATCACCTGATCTGCCTTAGCCTGCACGAATCACAAAGCAAAATCAACTGTCACATTTTAAACCAAAAAAAAAAAAAGAACTATTCTGGAGCATCACGACTGAAATTTTTGCTTACCTGACCCTCACCGCGGGCCTTTCCAGCGCTGAAGATTTGCTGAGTGTTCGACATTTTCTTTTGACGAGTTTAAGAGAAGAGATTGAAGTTCTTTTTGTTTTGTTTTTGTTTTTTTATGTTTTTCGTTTGCAAATGTGTGATTTCTTATAGAGTTAGAGAGGGGATTGGGTGTCTGACACGTGGCTTTTTATGAGGAGGGATTCGACGCGTTTGGTTGGTTAGAATTGGGGTTTCGACCGGGTAATCCTCCTACTGATGAGGGCCGCCATCGTTTGAGGCGTTTGATTCAACCGGAAATTTAGATTAATTCGTGTGGAGCTCAATGGATTAGTTACTATTATTTGTAGTATTTTATCAGCATTTAGAGCCCTATAATGTATAAATAGAACCATCTCTTCATTATCCTAATTTAGGATATAAATAGTAAATGCTAAAATACTTTTGCATAACAAAACAGACTTTCTTTTCGGTGCAAAGAAGTATCTATAGATCTTTGTGCAACACATTGACGTAACATGACATCAAGATGACAGGTGCATATAAAAAAAACTCCATGAACATCAGAGAGTTTATATGGTAGTAGAAAAGTTAAGATAGTAAGTCATTAGTCTAAATAGCATGTATATATACGATTAATCCTTCTAATTTTAAAAAATATCGGACTTAATGTTCAATCTGCGATCCATAAGGATTCATTCGTGAAAGTATTGGCTTTTTTACATGTGCGATAAACCAATCCCTTCAATTTTATTTTATTTTAGGGTAAAATACCACTTTAGCGTGTAAAGTGATATCGACTAACTAGTATGACCTAAAAAGTAACGTCGGCGATAATAACATCTATAAATTGATATACTTAACCGTTTACACATACTCCGGTCACCGAAATTTCAATTTGAATTGGCAAATTATAGATTTTTGTACATATACCACTCATAAATATATATCACACTTACAGATTTGCCCTCTAAAATTAAAAATATTTACAAAAAAAATTCATTTCTCTGTCCTATAGATGTCAAGATGTTTAACAGCGAAATTTTATGTGAGTTATGGAGAGTTCATGGTCCCTCAATCTTCTTCGACGGCTGATTATTGAGCAAAGAGTTCGATCCTACAGACAAACAACACGTGAGAGGGTTGAAGTTGGGCTTTTAGGTGGTTCCTCCGACGGTCAAATCCGTACGAATCTTAAGCGCAGAAGAAAGGAAATGTAAGTGCGGTAGGTTATGGTGCAAAAATTGTGTACATTCATGCCGTAGGCAATGCGTTTATTTATAGTAGGTTTTGAAGGGTATTTGCATAACTTCGCCCGAGTCCAAGCAGTCGGCTTGGTCAGCTGATACTTTACAGGTGTCGGCAGCGGGTGATCTGAGTCATCCTCATATTTATTGTGAAGACGAAAGAGGGGCTGTGGCGTCAGCGTGCTTCGATGAGTCATTATGACTCCAAGGGAGATGTAATGATGTCTTTGACTATACATTAAATGTTATGGTGACTGGATGTCGTTGTGGGATTATCTTGGCTTTTATAGGTTGGCCAAGAAGAGACATCTTTCGATTCGGTTATTCTGAATTAGGACGCTTCTCGACTCGGTCAACTGAGTGATAACGCATTAAGTCAGTTTTAGCAGCGAGGTTCGAGTGAGGACGCCTTTCGAATCGGCCCTCTTAGGAGGGGCCGAGTGAAGGCGTCCTTCGACCCGACCTTCATAAGTTCGGATCAGGTTAGTGTGCTATTAATTTGGAACACATGTCATCTCCTGAAATAGGATTATACTTGGTCATTTCTATAATAAGACACACCCCTTTCTCTCCCCATCATCTCCTTATACTCCTCTTCTCCCTTCTCACACACTCCACTATCCTCCTTCCTAGAATTACTCCCCTCTTCCTCCTTCTCCATCCATGTTCCTTTGCTCAACCTCTCTATGTTTTGTCATCTTAGTCTTCTCCTCCCCCCCCCTCTCTCTCTCTCTCTCTCTCTCTCTCTCTCTCTCTCTCTCTCTCTCTCTCTCTCTCTCTCTCTCTCTCTCTCTGGTCAAACGTTAACTAGAAGTAGAGAATAGAGTGGAGGAAGGGAGGAGAGAAGGGAAGATAGAAGTGGAGGAGGAAAATGAGGAGAGTGAGGAAAGAGAGGTTGAGAAGAAAGAGAGAGTTGGGTTTTTATGCAAATATTCTAATTCGAGGTTAACTTTGTAAGCGTGATAGATATGAGGAGTATATATAAAATTCATAACTTTTAAACTCAAATTAAAACTTTGGCAACTGGAGTAGGTGTAAATGATTAAGTGTGTTAATTCATAAATGTTATTATCGCCGACGTTACTTTTTAAGCCTTATTGATTAAAATGTGCCACTTTATAGGCTAAAGTAATATTCTAACCTATTATTTTATTTCATTTTCACCTCATTTTATTTGCGCAAAATGAGGAATTGACTAAGAAGTGAGCCCAATCTGATTTAGGCCTAGTAACAGCAACTTTAGGGTTACAACTTAAGCAAACTAAAGTCATATATTGTAAGGCCCACAAGGAAAGCCGATTCAAAGAAATAAAGATTCACCCTTTAGCGCGAACCTAAAGGCTTCAAATAATTTTGATAATATCCAAATCACAACCTAGAGGCATAAAAGAGGCATTAAAATTTTTACTTAAGATACTCATCTACACCTCCTTAGGCTAGGAAAAGAAATGATCATTTTATCACGCTGAGAATCAATGATATTTTTTTGGTAAATAATTTCAAATACTTCGTGTATGTTGGAAAATTGCGCAAAGAAAAGAACAAAGAAAATTGACTTGTATTTCTTTGATTCCGATTACAACTTGATTACAAAAGAGAGGAGAACGAACTTGGTTCTCCCCTTTGTTTAAAACTGGGTTCTTCACGGTGGCGATGGAGTGCCTCCCTCGAATGCTTGCGTCGAGTTTGCTCTCCGTTTGACGATCCGATGTTTTGCTTCACTGGAACGATGTCTTCTCCTCACGATTCGACGCTGTGGAGAACTTGCGTGGCAAGTTTAAAACTCTTGATGAGTTGATAACTCTGAACGAGTTTTAACTCTTGAAAAAGAGTTGATTTGAACCGAAAGTCGGTTATAAGCCAAGGACAGAGGCTCCCTGTTGCTGAAGTTGAAGATGATCTTCGTTGGAAGATGATGCCGATCTCCTCAAAAGCCTGTCTCCAGTGGTCGATCCAAGCCAAGAAAATCCAACCTTGCTGCCAACTCTCAGATCCGAAAAAATGCCAGCCCCTAACTCAGTTGAGTTCACCCATATTTATAGGGAATTAAGGGGTGTAACCGCCCCCTTAATTCTCTCCATAGTGGGGCGGAAATCCCTCAAATCGTGGAGGCCGTTCAGCTCATGTTGAATGAGTCAAACAATACCCACGTTGGCGTTCAGGATCCTAACTCCGCGTTTTAGAATTGAGACGCGGAGTTGGGTACTCGCTGGGCATTGAAAAACGCGGGTCTGACCCCAGCGTTTTAATGTTGTAACGCGGGTCCGACTCCAGCGTTTTAATGTTGTAATGCGGGTCCGACTTCAGCGTTTTGCTGTTGACACACGGGTTCGACCCTCGCGTTTTGATGTTGTAACGCGGGTTCGACCCTCGCGTTTTGATGTTGAAACGCGGGTTCGACCCTGGCGTTTTACTGTTGACACACGGGGAGGACCTCCGCGTTTTGGTGTTGATACACGGGGATGACCTCCGCGTCTTGCCTTGAAGAGATTATCACCAAGTAATCTCTTTTTGTCATAGCGTTGCAAAGATCATTGTCTTGTAATCTTCGTCTTGGCTCCTTGAGAATATGAGAGTCGTCAGATTGTAACTCCAGATGTTGATTGTGAAGGCTGTTGAATTAGAGCTTCCATCAGTTGTCGTGAAGGTCGTCAGATTGTAACCTTCAGCGATCTACGCGAAAGTCTTCAGATTACAGCCTTCTGGAAGTCGTCAGATTGTAACTTCCATCACCGGTGTTTGATGGGGGATAAACTATCTATTGTGATTTTTAGACAGCCTACAGAACCCCCTCCAAAGTTTTTTAAAGTTCGCGGTTGACTAGGACGAATTTTCGGAATACTTTGGATCTTAACTCTGATCTTAGAGCTGTTGATTCCTTGTCGTAAAGGAGTCGTTCTCTGCACTTGCTTCGAAGGCATCTTGGTTGAAGGGATTTGTCACATAGGGCCTGTGTGAAGGTATGTGCCATAATCCTGCTTCTGGAATGCGGGGGTGGAATCCTGCATTTTAAACTTGAAACGCGAGTCTCACCCTTGCATGTTGGATTTGGAACATGGGTATGACCTCAGCGTTCGATTTTTTGCATCGCGTGTCTGACCTCAACGTTTGGTTTTCGCATCGCTGGTCTAACCTCGGCATTTTGACTTGAAACGCGGCTATGACCTTGGCGTTAACGTTTTTGCGACGCTGGTCTGACCTTGGCGTTTCGATGTGAGGCGCGGATGTGACTTTCATTCATTTTTGACTAAGTCTTTGAGACTTGTCTTCAGCTTATTCGTTTCAAGTCTTGGCTCACGTCCATTAAGCTGGTGGGCCTGAAAACATGCATAGGATTTTTGGCAAACCCTCAGCCATCAACGGGTTTGATAAGCCTTTACCGACTACCGTTTGAATCGGGCTAGCATGTGGATTGTCTAAGTCTGTTCCATATGTAACGTTGTGCTAAGAGAATGAACTCTCTTAGACTTGATGCTATGATTTTGAATACATAGACTTTGTCATTTTTATGGAAAAAGACTAATCAGCAACGCGTGTTAGGCGTAGGCTTATCTCTAATTAGGGATCGAGATAAAGTCCCCCATGCGTGTGAAGCATGGATTTTGGCGTTATTAATAACAACCTGTCACGATGTTGAATACGTGGGTTTTGCCATTATTGCGGGAATGCGCTACCCGGCAGCATGTGTTAGATGCGGATGATGCAGCATAAACATGTACCAAAAAGGTTGCAAGTGCACAACCGTGTCAAGTTATAGTATTTAAGATATCGATCCCACGAGGAAGGTGTTTTATAGGACAAAATATAAAATCGGTTCTTATTTCGTGTGCGTGACAAATAGGAGTGATAAGTGAATGTGATTGTGA